AGAACATTAGGGATTGGAAGGGACCTCGAAAGAATGACAGGAGTGCAGCTTAGTTTTTGAGCTTACTGAACTTAATATTCCTCTTCTGCAAATGTTTTGCCAGAGGCTAAAGAAAATGGAGTACAAGTATACCTGTCTAACATATTTGAATCTTCCACTCCAGAAAAACACAGGTATGCACAGGAATACTTTCATGCAAGCACTTTAGAAGCATTACCTATGGGGGGGCTGAGGGCTAGATTCATACAAGTATTTGGGTGCTTAGATGCTCGTGACACCACTCTACCATCATCTACCCCTACAAGGTGTCAGTTTTCCCCTAATCGCTTAGTTTTCCAAATAAAACCTATAAAACAGCAAGTCATTTGTAAGGGATGGATGCCTTGGGGCCCGTATGCTCTGCGCCTGCCTGAGTGGGGCTCTCAAACCAAGCATTTCCAGATGGAAATGTGGGGTTTGCAGCTCGGTGTGTTCTTTGTTGTAGGGCTCAATTCAATGAGTCTTCAGACCTGTACTGAAGCATACATGAAACTGAGTAAGGTCGCCCACAAAGCACTGGCAAGCTGAACCTCAACTGGCGCAGAAAAGTTCAAATCCTTCTGGAGCAGGAACTTGAACTCCTCCTTCTCTCACAGAAAACTCCTTAAAAACTGGGTGGTCAAGATGAAAGAGGCAAACCCCTCTCCACCATCTGTCAGCAGTCCTGGCTGACTGAGGAGGTTCCACTTAACTGGAGGCTGGCAAATGTTACACCCATTTACAAGAAGGGCTGGAAGGAGGATCCAGAGAACTACAGGCCTCTCAGTCTGACCTTGGTGCTGGGGAAGGTCATGGAGCAGATCATCCTGAGTGCTATCACACAGCACACACAGGCCAACCTGGTGGTCAGGCCCAGTCAGCATGGGTTTATGAAAGGGAGGTCTTGCCTGACCAACCTGATCTCCTTCTATGACAAGGTTACGTGCTCAGTGGATGAGGGAAGGGCTGTAGATGTGGTGCACCTGGACTTCAGTAAAGCCTTTGACACCATTTCCCACAGCATCGGTTTGAAAAGCTGTCTGCCAATGGCCTGGACAGGCATTGTCCAGACTCTCTGCTGGGTTAAAAACTGGCTGGATGGCCGGGCCCAAAGAGTTGGTGGTAAATGGAGTTAAATCCAGATGGAGGCCGGTCACAAGTGGCGTTCCCAAGGGTCAGTGTTGGGGCCAGTTCTGTTTAACATCTTTATCAATGACCTGGACAAGAGGATTGCGTGAGTAGGTTTGCAGATGACACTATGCTGGCTGGAAGTTCTGACCAACCATATGAGGTTCAACAAGGCCAAGTGCCGGGTCCTGCACTTGGCCTTGTTGGGGTCACAACAACC